CAGATCTGCAAATCTGCAAATCACAATCTAACATCTCTCTACCAGGGCCGCCATCGTCGACTACTTCCCTCCTTCCCGTGTGCCCAAGTTCCGCGCTACCTGCAACTGGCTCCTGCGCGCATTCACCCTCACCACCGCTGTTGGTCTGTACGAGTTCGAGACAAACGATGTTGGTGTGACCGAGGCTCTGCGTCGTATCTGGACAGCATAGAGTGCTGTTGCGGTTCTTTTTTTCAGACATGATGTCTTTCTATTTCCTTTTTTTTCCTGCTTACCAATTTGGTTCTGGTCTATCCAGGCGTTCCGTTCCGCCTCTGTATATGTCGTTGATTATTTTTCTTTTGTCTCAGCCCGAATTTATTGATCGGTGCCGGATTCCTGCTGCTCGAGGTTGTTTCTGAGCTATAGAAAAAGGACGGAATATAACCCTTGTACGAGAAGACCTAGTGTTTTTCGTTTCTTTCTGTATACTACGTAGAAGATATGCAGCCGGATTCTTTATGTATCAACGATACATCGAAATATGTGGTAAATAGTTAGCAGTATTTGAAATGAGCACAGTTTTTCTACTCACCGATCAGGTCACTCTCTTAAATATGTATTCTAATCCTTTTGATTCTATCCTCCAAGAAGGCATGATGATATAAAAACATAGGAAGACAAGGCTAACGAGAAACAAGAGATCCTAAAACCTCATACAAACATCCACTTCACTCATCATCCTCACTCTCCCCGCCATCCCCAGGCAGCCCATCATCATCATCCGCACTCAGCATAACAGCCTCAATAATCTTGAGCGTCGCCTTAAGCGGCAACCCAACAACATTGTCATAACTGCCATCAATCTTCTCAACAAGAATAGACCCAAGCCCCTGTAACCCATATCCACCAGCCTTATCCGCGCCCTCTCGCGTGCGCACATAAGCCATAATCAGCTCATCCGTAACATCGCCATCAAACCGCACCGACGTCTCCTCAACCGTACTCTCAATGGCATACCCCGGATCCCGCGCACTAGCCAACGGCGCCATAGCCACAATCGCCGTGTAGACCTTGTGGTTTCGGATATCACGCAGCGAGCGCAGCATGGCCATATGGTGTGCTTCAGAGCGGGGCTTCTCGAGAATCGAGCCTGTGGACGGGTCCACGACGACCGTGTCTGCAGCTAGAATCAGGGCGGGCTCGCCCTTGACCTCATTGTTGATTTCTTGCTCGTAGACTGCTTGGGCCTTTTTCGTCGCTGTTGCTAGCACATACTCAAATGGGCTGAGGGTTTTTGATAGGTCTTCTGCGGCGTTTGAGGGGATGATCTCTATGTTCGGGAGACCCAGGAATGAGATTATGTGCTTGCGACGTGGTGATTGTGAGGCAAGGATTACGCGCTGATTGCGGAGGTTGTTTAGGGCTGGGAGGTTGAGGGGTGGTGGGCGTGGGAGTGGTGCCCCGCGGTTGGTTTTCAAGACGGGTTTGTCGTAGGCTGGGGGTGGGTCGGATTCGGTGGTGTCGAATTCTTCCATGTGGGACAGTAGAGCTTCTTTGGAGTCTGTCATGTTGGGGCAATTTGGTGTTTGTCTGATGTTTTGGGTGTTGCGGGCAGTGATGCGATGCGGGGAACTCTCTCCGTCCGCTTGTCGAGGCAGATGGTATTTGTGTGCCGTTGATCGATCTTGCAAGTATATGTAGGGATATTAAATTGGGGATCCCGACTGTCCACGAGATTCTTTATGTCACGGATTTGTGTAGAGTGTACGGAGTAGAAGTCTGCATTTGCTTCACCTGGAAGGGGCTCGGTTTCTTCGGCAGATACCAGGCGGTAAGCCGAAGCTCCCGGGTATATGTGCAGTCTATGTATATCGAGATTACACCTTTGTGACCGCTGCATTGATTGATTATATCGTCTAAATTTCCGAGACTGTAAGATATACTTTTTTGTAAAATCTGGTTGGCTACCCGGCCTAGAAACTGCATGACTGCAATTATTCTCCGTAACCCTGTCCACGTGATGCGACCGAAGTACGGCTCGGTTGAATAATTCCTTTTTGATTGAGAATAGGAATGCCAATGTGCGTGTTCAGTCAGAGCTGAAAATAATTCGAGTTCAAGCTGGCCATTGGGAAAGAAAAACGCCCCAGTTGCTTCGCAGCAACAGCCGTGACCAGATACATTCTGGTACCTAGGAGCAGAAACAAACCAGAAAAAAAAGCTTCAATGTACAATATTGAGCAGAAGTAGGAAAACAAGAAATACACAAGCCGTAGCACCGTATTGATAGTCGTTCAATCTACCGAATGCGGTGGAGGATGCGTGATTGACATCAAATCATATGCAAAGACCAGATCTGTCAGGTAACGAGGAAGCCCCGCAATTGACCATTTCGAAGATCTCGCTCATAATACAGGGGTAGAATAAATAGACAAGAAAAAGAGATTCGTAGTGTGGGTATAAGTCCATGTGGTCCAGGATTCGAGAAAAACCGCTCGGACCTCGGCACATGCCTGCAGTCCCAGAACCCTCGTATCGACCAGCGGAGGGGAACAAGGGTTGCAGGATGCCGACCCAAAGCGCAAGGAGACACCGAGGGAAATATGATCACGTTGGGCGGAAAGAATCGTCCACGCGGCCGCCTTTGCTCTCGATTTCTGCGATAAGATCGTGGCGTTCTTGCAGTTTCACGTGGATGAAGTCCACGGTCTTCTGCAGAACAATGCTCTCACTCCGGCCCTGGCCCTCCAGGCCAGGTACCAGTTCTGTCAGGCGATCGAAGCCTTCGCGAATGGCCGCGCGTCGCTTTTGCTCCGAGGCAATGTGGTTGCTCTTTTTTTCTTGATCGGTAAGTCGAGGTTTGTCCTTGTCCTGGGCAGATCCCTGCTTGGATGTTCCATTCGGCGTCGAGGACGACCGATCATGGTCATCGTCTGGATTCATCGTGGTGCTTGGTGACTGGAGGATTTTGAGAGGAACTGAGGGCACGCCGTGGGGTAGGCGCACCGAGGGTATACAGGGTTCGGGGCTCGCGGTTTCGATTGGATGGGTTCGATGACTATCGTTATTGATCTGAGTCTCGGTCGAGGCAAGGCATAGACAAGGGAGGCGATTGTAATCGGTAGGCAATGGGAGAATGTTGAAAGGAAGAGAGAGGAAGTAGACACGGGAAAGCGATAGGAAGCGATAAGGCCACAGGCCAATGCGGAGTAAAACTGGAGGCCGGGAACGGGCCTTGGCAACCTCTAAACGTCATAGAGAGGGCCCACTGAACACTTCTTGCTTTTTCTCTTTTTCATGTTAATTTTGTTCTCGCACTCTGGATTCCTAGTCAATTTTCATATCAAAGGCTAGCATCCGATCGATTGAGACTTTTAGCATACAAAACGAGTGCCGGGTCGCTCATCTCTAATCTATAACCGTCTATCTAGCTTCAACCTTGCGAAGTTACCAACGCCGCGGTAGTTCTTGTACCACCATGGCCTTCGATCCGCTCCGCGGCTCATGCTCTTGTGGTCGAAATGAATACCAAATCAATATCCCGGATGATGTGACAGACCATGCCGAAGTGTACTTCGACAGTAGCCGAGACAATCGTGGGTAAATCCAAGTTAAGCTTGTCGATCTCCCGGCTAATATCGAATTCTAGGTCGATTCCACGGCACACCTCTTTCGGCGTGGCTACGAGTGCCTCTCGGCTGGTATCAATCCCGCACTCAGTCCTTCTTCCCAGACGAATCACACTCTTCCATTCGCCGCATTCATTCGCCTCGCCACGCACCCCAAACCCAACGTGTCTTCTGTGGATACTGCGGTACACCCTTGACTTTCTGGACAGAGGATCCCATCGAAGAATCCAACTTCATGTCTGTCACGATCGGCAGTCTGCTGGTGGATGACCAGCGCGCACTGGATGATCTACGATTACTTCCTCGGGACTACGACGAGGACGCTCCCACTGATGGTATCTCAACCTCATCTGCACTAGCACCAGGCTCAGACACCGCTTCATCTTCGGTCATTGTTCCATCATCTAATGATTCTGCGGATATCTCAAGGAGTCTGCAGCACGGTAGAACTGGGGGGATCCCTTGGTTTGAAGAGATGGTAGAAGGGAGCCGGTTGGGTCGTCTGATGCGTTCTCGACGTGGTATGGGAGTTAGTGATGATCAATCGACTTCAATCCAGTGGGAATTTAGCGAATGGCATGATGATGGAACTGGTACAGGCGGGTTTCTGCAACAGGATTCGGACTCAGGCGGACACTTGAGGGGAAATAGGAAGCGGGTGAACCAGGCCGATGCTGATATTGAGTCTCCACTGAAGCGAGCAGGGTAATATCTGCAAGTTCCTATGGATACGATATGAGATTTCAACGTTTAATGTAGTAACAAAGAAATCAATGACAAAAGGCTTTCTATTTTATTTTTCGGTTTAGTATGAAAACCAGAGGACTGTGCTTATTCAAATTATCATGTTACCTAGATATATATTGTAGACCGGGGGGTATTTACTATTTAGGGGATATCTAGTCGCAGTCTCTGAGGATGTCTATCAAGGATAGGTCGCATACCTACCTCGCTTTCGACCGTGTCCGTGGGTCTTATACCTTTTTCATGGGATTTTGTGTGGGGAGTTTTAATTCGTTTAAAAACCTGCCTGTGCAGTAGTCGAGAATCCTGCTAGGATCTTTGGCATTTTGGTTGGGTGTATTTTATGTAGGTGCTGGGATTGTCTATCACATGCCACCCGCTTATTGCCTCCGATACAAGCCCATGCTGATTTTTTTGTAAACGCCAAACTTTCATTTGGCCATATCAGTTGTTATATGATGTACAATATAGCCTCAAGGCACCCGTGTTATAAGTAAGATCGACCGTGGAAAGTTTTTGGGTCGCAAAGCATACCCGAAAAGGTTAAGCGCCGTCCAGACGACACGGGGCTGAGCAACATCTTCTCTACTTCCTTTTTTCCTCCCTAGCTGTGGACAATGTACAATACTTTTTCAAGTACGGAACATGGTATACTGTGGTAAACCAAGCAAAGGATGTGGCGAGTGCAGGTCCAGAAAGATTCGGTGTGACCAAGCCCAACCGGCCTGTTCGCAATGCACCAGGGCTAAGCGGGACTGTCCCGGATATCGGGATCAACTGGCGTTAATGTTCCGCGACGAAAGCAAATCAGTAGTCCGAAAGGCGGTTGCGGCCTCGACACATAAGAATAAACAAGAGCGATCGCGTCGCACTGCAATCCCAGAAAGGAAACCTGTGCGGTCTGAGCTTGGTCTCGCGGTGGAGCAGGACTTTGACTTCAATTCTGATCCACAGCATGTCTTTCTCATGCGACAGCTCGGGCCCTACCCATTGGAGGTCCAGCCATCATATGAGCTTGATACCACCAAATATGAAGCAATCTGTTATTTCCTACGATCTAATGCCCTGCCCAGCAGTTTCTGGACTAGTGAGATCATGTCCAATTTTTTATTGCAGAGTGGGGGCCCTGCAGGTCAGAGAGCCATGAAGGCAAGTGTGGTTGCTACTGCCACGGCTATGCTCTCGCGAGTAAGAGGGTTACCATCGCTTAACGATATAGCCCGCCAGGAGTATGGATCCGCTTTGAGAATGCTTAATGCCGCTCTAGCCGACATAGAGGAGGCGAAAACAAACCAAACCTTGGGCGCTGTCATAATGCTTGCCATATATGAAGTATGGAATTTTGCATCGTTGCCCTCTCAGATGGCTGTCGCTGACTCTCTATCTATAGGTGATTACATCAAGAACCCCGGAGAGTATTGACAGCTGGACCAACCATATCAATGGAGCAACAGCTCTGCTCGATCTACGAGGCACTGATCAATTTAAGACCAGCGCCGGTCTTCGCTTGTTTTTGTATCTTCGATATCAGATTGTGAGTGTCGTCGACCACCCCTTCGATCTCAAGCTAATCCCTTGAACAGACCATCAGTTGCCTACAACGAGACGCACGAGTGCCTGAGTCGCTACTCCGATGCACAGAAATCACAATGTTTCTTGATACAGCAGAAGCTCACGGCAATCGACTAGTAATGATAATTGGGAAATTATCGAATCTCCGCGCAGACATCCACACCAATATTTACAAAAGTGAGCAGGAAATCATATCAGCAGCGTCGGCCATCGAAGCCGATTTAATTGCCTGGCTGGCAGCTCTCCCCTCCGAATTTAACTACACCACCCATGTAAGCTCCCCCTTCGACCTTGCCATTCAAAAGCAATTTCGAGGTATATCGCCATACGACGACCAATACCACGTGTACCCCACCCCCTGGGTCTGCAGTTCGTGGAACCAATACCGCAGCGCCCGAATCATCGTCAGCCAAATCATCCTCGCCCGTGTCCGGAAACTATCCGAAAGTTCCTCTCTTGCCTCATTGTCCGAAGAGCTTCGTGTCCAATGCAGGACACTGCGATCAACGATTCGGCGGTTGGCCCTGGAGATCTGTCGCAGTGTTCCGTTTCACTTCAACGTCCACCTAGTAACTAGGGAGTCTAATATCCCGCCGCCTGAAAGCTACATTGGAGGTCTAGTGCTCCTATGGCATCTGTTTGTCGCTGGAGTTGTTGAGAGCCCCCAACATAGGCTGCGCCGCTGGGTGGTCAAGTGTCTGGAAATGATTGGAAACACGATGGGTATCGACCTGGCACTTGCAGTGGCGGATATAGTTGCTGCTGATCCTGGAGTTTTACATCCTGTGACTGAGGAAGAAGACACCCTTTGAAGTGTCCAGTGCGCCTGCGCCTGGTCTGACATGCAGTTCAATTGCCCTACATGGGAGGTACTTGGTTCGGGGTATATAGCGACTGATATAGTTGTTTCTTCCATTCTTTTGATTTCTTCCATTCTTTTATTACTTATTGGGCTGAACCAACAGCATCAATACTTGTCTAATGATTTGTATGTTTTCTTGTGTTATAGCCTAGGGTTTGGGATTAGGGCACCTTGTGTGTTGGTTATCATTATGACTCACGAACTGTGTAATAAACATTAAATTAAAATACAGCCCCTGTCATACCTGATCATAGCTTCCAATAAAATTCCAGAAAAAAAAACTAACACTGGGTCAGTTCACCCTGCGAAGTACAACATTCGCTGCGCCCTGGGCACCAGGATTGCCCTATGCGGGGCTGTGTTCGCTCCGCCACTAGTAACAAAGGACCGTCTGTCTGTGCGCTTCCCAATTCCCAGAAACTGCGTTTATATGATTGGTTAAATTCAATACTAACTCTGGCGCCCAATGACCCTGCGTTACCTAGTTGTTGCTCGGGTCTCCAAGGTGGGGGCTTATACGTGAATGAGCAACATTGCTCCTCAATATCCCTGTCAGTTCCAATAGGGCTGCAGCGAAGGAAATATGCCTTATGATTTATGATGGCATTTTGCGCCTTACACATACTTTGGGGGCTTATTGTTGGATTGGAACTCGTATTTTGACCATGTGTTTGGGGTAAATCCTTGTTTGTCAGAAGTATGCCTTGGTCTATGCCTCTCTGCCCTATGCTATACCTTCTTTGTATAGTGGGTTTCACAGCAGAGCCCCTGGTAGATGTCAAACATGTAGATATAAAGAAGGTGTTTCCTGGGCCAAATCCTTTGTCTAGAACATACATTTAAGTATACCAGAGCAGCCTTCCAAACACAAGTCTATTTGGCATCTATTCCTCTCCAGCACTTCATTTAAAACATACACAATCTTCAGCCATGGGCTCTCCCGAAAAGACCTCACTATGGCACTCCTTCTCATCCAACCATCGGAAAGAGCGCAAAGAGCGCAAAGCAGGAGCAACCACCGCACCAAGAACCATAGTGACTGCACCAACACATTTTCCATCATGGTCCCGAGGCCGCGCCAATAGCTCCAATACATCAAGTGTCACAGAGAAGCAATCGTCAGACCTTCCCCCACCGTACGTGGAAGCAGCAGTCCCAACAATCAGAGTCAGCGCCCCCGAAGAGCCAGAAACCGATTCCCAATATGCCTTCCTCGGCGAATTCCACACCATCTTCCTGGTAGACGACAGCTCAAGCATGAAAGGCGAACTTTGGGACGAAGCCAAAGATGCCATCGCCGCGATCGCGCCAGTGTGCACAAAATATGACAGCGAGGGAATCGACATTTACTTCATCAACCACCGACCAAAGTCGAACATCAACTCCAACTACAACTACAATTACACCCACAGCTACAATCCCAGCCGACGTCCAAAACTCGATGCCGGCGGATACCACAACATCAGAACCGCGCAACGAGTAAGCGAGATCTTCTCCTCTGTCAGACCCTCTGGCGGAACAGGAGTCGGCAGTCGACTGTTTGATATCCTGGACCCGTACACCAAGCTGGTGGAAGCAAAGGAGACAGAGAAGCGAGCGCAAAGGGACGCATCTGGCCCGGGCTTTTTGGTTAAGCCGGTGGAGCCGGTTAAGCCGGTTAAGCCGATTAATATTATCACGATTACCGATGGGGTGTTTACGGATGATGCGGAGAGCATTATTATTAAGACGGCTCAGATGCTGGATGGGCCTTCTTGTCGTGCTATTCCATGGCAGGTTGGGATTCAGTTCTTCCAGATTGGGAATGATGAGATGGCTCGGCAGTACTTGGAGGAATTAGATGAAGACCTTGGGCATCGGTGCAATAATTTGCACATGAGGGATATTGTTGACACTGTTTCTTGGAGAACTCGGGCTGGGAGGCGATTGGAGGGGGATGGGATCTTGAAGATTGTGCTTGGGGCTGTTCATAAGAGGTTGGATAGGAAGAAGGTTAGATAGAGTACTTTGTATGGCTATGGAAGTTTACGGGTTTTAGGTTTAGGATACTTAGATTTCTTAGGATTATCATCTAATTTGATTATTTAATTATATTTTTGTACGGAGTATACGGAGTACATTATTTCCCTTCCAATCGCATATTTTGACCTACGTATGAAAATGACATATCATTTGAAAGATTAATCTTAGGAACCGCCGAGGTGGAGAATTCTCGGACATATCCCTGTGGGCTCTGTGTTAGCTCAGTGTTAGCTCAGCTGGGTTTAATCTCCACGACCAATAAGAAGACCGGACGCTTTAATTCGCTACAATTCGCTACAATTCACTATAGTTAGAGCTCGGGCCCTTGCAGCTTCCTGCAAACTGGTGATGTTTTGGTTTGGGAGAATAAAAGTATTTCGTACAGAGTATATATATCCTCCAATGATCAACCTATCTATAAATCAAATCCCTTGATGTATAACATATATAACATATAAATCAAAAATGAAATCCAATGGATCTAACTAATCGAATTTTACGTACCTTGCATGGAGATCGACGAACCACAATGATGGGGCATCGGAGGATCGCAAGCCACACCGTGTTCTGCCCTGAGAATCGGAGATCATATTCTTTTTTTTTTCTTTCTCTTCCTCTCTTCTTATAACAACGTAATTCTTACGGAGTACGGAGTAGATCAGCACGGATTATTGAAGACTCCTCGCTCCACTCCTCATCACCGCCAATTTTGTGATCGTCAAGTCATCCCCGCGCCGATCTCCTAAAAAACCTCGAATTCGCCTCTCATCCCCCCTTCTCTCTTGATTCTCTTCCCTTTCAGCCTTCAGGGCTTCATCCTACCGTTTCTACAGTTTCATCCTCGATTTCTGCCCCCTGTTTCAACATCCCAGCCTGCAGCGCTAAGAGGTCTCTTAGCGCCGGGCTCCCCTACGCAGGAACATTTCCAACCCGAGTGGTCGGCGCTTCCCTCTTCCGCTCCCTCATTGGCCAACCTTGTCGCTTTGCACCTGCATCGGGGAAATTGCACCATCACTATCGCGGTTCCTGAAGCATCAGTCTACACTTATTTGATCATTTGGGTTGGGCCCTGTGTGTCCAGGCCATGGAATTGTGATTATCTGCGTTACCCCCCAACACACCTGAAACGAACTGTTTATTCTTAGACCTGTCACTCGATTCTGAAACAGGTACAGCGTGCTTCCAACCCCCCCGGCTGTAATTATAGAACCGCCTTTGTGGAGTTGGCTTTGTGTCTGTGAGCTCTTGTGGGTTTTGTTATATAAGCTTGGGCTTTCGACTCAAGTCCCTTTTTTGGACCCTCTATAGACTGTCCTTTTGTTGCTTTCCATTCGCGTGTATTCTACTGGCATTCTGTCTTTTAGCATTTTCTTTCGTTGCTATTTTGAATTGTTGTGCATTTCCTTTTTCTCTGATTTCTTCTTTTTATCTGTGCTATTACTTGCTTTGCTCAGCGATCTCTCTTTTACTGTTATTTTTTTCTTGCTGTCTTACCTTGCGATGATCTCGACTACCCTCATGACTTTCCTACTGTGAGTGCCCCCTCAGTGCAATTGATATCTCCTTGCGCTGATCACGGTTTAGGATTACCAAACCGGAGGTCCGGTCGGTCAAGCTGCTTGGATCATGGGATAATTTCTCCAAGCAATATGTGATGGAAAGAGATACACGCGTCGGCCCAGGACACTGGAGAGGATGCCACACCTTTACCGATATCATAGGCGATGGACCAGATAAGACTCAATGGCGAACAGGAGGTCTGAAGATGGGTGGTACTTACTGGTATTATGTGAGGCTCATATTCACGCATATGAGATGAAAGAGCTAACGAGGAAAACAGTATTTGCTCGATAATGATATAGAGTATTACAACGAGGCAGAGCCAACGACCACAATGTGCCCGCTTCTTCCAGGGCAGCCCATGAATGTGCTGAACGTCCCTATCATTTTACCCGACAGTCGCGCACATGGACGCTCGGCGAGTGGCAGCTCCCAAAGATCTGAACATCTTCGGACGATGAACCCCGAAGACAAGTTTATGAACCCGCGGAAGCCGCCGCCACAGCCCCAACTTGCGCGTCTCCAGACATCTGCACCAATCCGTCGCGAACCGAGCCCTGCAGAGTCGTCGAGCAGATCTCCGATGGCCGGAATTCACCGAAGTGCATCTCAGCCGCACAGTGCCACCCGTAAAGGCCACAAGAAAGATTCACGTTCTATGTCTCCTCCGAGAGCCCGAGCCCTTCTGGCTGCTTTAAGGCAACCCGCTGAGGTGGATAGAAAGTTCGAGCCAGCGCAACCAGTGAATGCTTTTAAGATTGCACCGCAGCAACCTATTGAGAATCGCCGTGATATCCCTGGAGTCAAGATCAACGCCGGAATCGCAATTCCATCCACAAGCTCTCCTGACAAACTTGGTCCGTCTACAATTCAAAGTCGTCGTGCGATGAAAGCAGCCGCTGGAGAAACGGCAGCGGGTCGTCTTCTCACAGTGCAGACGCGTCCGGAGCCCCGTAAATTGAGTCCTCGCAGCGTAGCAAACGGAAACACCGCGCCATTTGACGAAAACCGCGCGATCAGGGACGCCCTGAAAGATATCGCTAACTCTGGTGACTTGCCCACACCAACTGCTGCGTTTACCAAAGAAAAGAGGCTGCCTACACTTCCAAACACGCCATCTTCAGTCATGGATGAAGCAGTCCGCGCCATTGACGAAAGAGACAAGGCGATGGACGACGAGATTCCACGCAGTTACTTCTCCAGCATGACAACAACAACAGTCGACTCCACCCACTCCCAGATCGTGCCTGAGTACAGCCGGTTCTCTGAATGGAGTACCGACACCGAAACCGACTACAACCCGCATGAATCAATAGTATCAGCCTCCGCATCCAACCACCGCCAGGACGAGTCGTCGACCGAAAGATGGACAACACCAGACCTCTCGCAGTCTGGCGATGGTGCAACTAATACGGACCCAAACACCCCCCCATCTCACTGTCTACTCCAAACCTTCATCTCCGAACTCGGCATCCGGAGAACTCCCTCCCTGGAGCGTCGATCTCCCCCAACTCACCCTCTCCCTGTCCACACCTGGCCTAGACTGTTCTGGGCTGGGCATCGAGAATATGGATGAAGTGGAAAGCAACCCAAAGCGTCATGCCGCCCTATTTAGCGCCCTTGAATCCATGGAGGCCCTTGCAATGTCGCGTAGCCCCAATGGATCCCCGATCATCCTCCCCCAAGTCTCCAGAGGCTCAGACACGGAGCAAAATATCTCTACCACAGAGCGGAAAGTGAGCGAGACTTCCCTGGAGCGCATTCGCTCCCGTCGCAGCAATGCCTCGTTCCAGGGGAATGCTACCATGCAGGAGTTGATAGATGAGCTCAGTTACCTGAAGAATCTGATCCAGGCTGACATGGATGGGGCTCCCTTTTGATAAGGGACTCTCTCTCAGAGACTTCTGTCTCGAATTTTTATTCTCATGTTCTTATTATCATATTGCTGGCGCTGGTCGTCGGCATTGGAGTTGTACTCCGCAAATGTATCATTTAGCTCTCAATAGAGATGAAATCATAACAAAGGAAATACGAAAAGAAAAAAAAAAAACTTGTTTTCGATGTATAAGTTAATATTCACCTAGTAGATAGTCGAAGCAAATCGATGTAAACTCCAGAGTGACGTTGGTGAATAGCAACAGATCGGAACACCAAAACACACGCGCCAAGAATCCCTCTGTATCCACCACCCGCGATCAACAGCTTCGGCCAAAAAGAACAGCGCAACACCTCAGTTCTTGAACCTCTGATGTTCCCAAAATAAGAATGGGCTGAATGTGTTATTTGTATTGAGAAAGAAACACCCATAATGGCAGTCGATGGCCCCCAACTGACCCCCGTCGGGGAGAAGTCCCTACAGGCAAAATGCAAAGCGCAGGCCGTGGCGTACTGTCCCACGATGGACCTGATAGCGCTAGCAACCGAGGACGAGGAACTACGCGTGTTCCGACTCAATGGGCAGCGAGTGTTCGGGGGTTCCTTTGGTGGTGATCCGTACCTAGGCGAGGATGAAGAAGACGGCGAGATTAGAGGGATGGCGTGGAAGGGGGATGGTGAGTTTGAATTTCTTTGTTGCTGGTTTTTGCGATATCTTTTTTTTCTCTATGATCAGATATTCCTGGCCTTGTTTGTTGATTCCACGCTCGATTATTTACTAATGCTACACCAGGTCGCCTCCTCGCTGTCGCGTGTGGAGATGGCTCGCTCCGCATCATAAGTTCCTATACTGGGAAGACGGTACACCACTACCAGACCTATCAGCAGAAAGAAGAACCATCCAATCCCACTGAGAGCCAAGCACCCAAGGCAACGTGCGTTGGGTGGGGTGCCAATTTCACTGATAGCAAAGCCGCACAGCGGCATTTGCATGAATCTGCGGGCCAGGTCTCCGTCGACGACCTTTTAGCCCCGGGAGTGTATCCCTCCAAAGCAACTACAACACTCCAAGCAGATTTACCCAGGGAACTTGCCTTGCTGGACATTGAGAGCTCACTACCAAAGCTGAGCACCCTACCTGCAACAGGAGGCGAGGACGATGTCTTTAGCTCGCGGGCGTCTCTCGACGCCATCTTCCATTCGTCGAAGGATTCCAACGACTCGGTTGATGTGCTCTCTGTCGGATTCGACGATGGTACTGTCCACCTGCGCATCTTTGATTGCTTCGAGATTGGCTCTTTCGCTGTGGGAAGCTCTCCCGGCATCTCCGACTCATGCCGTATCTTGCGACATGCTTCGCATCCTTTGAGCTCTACGCATGCCCTACTGGCCTCACCGGTTAAGGGTGATACCCGTGGTCCGCTTGAACTTGTTACGATGGATCTCCGATTTATTACGAAGTCTGGGAGATATTTGTCTCTTCTTGCGTCGAAGACTACACAGCTTCAGAATTTGCTGCGCTATATTGGTCAGGTGCAGCGGCAGATTGAGCTTGAATGGAAGAATGCTCAGGAGCTCCCTGCGCGGTTCTTGCGCAGTGTCAATGAGGAGTTGCAGGAAAAATGCCAGTGCGATTTTATCACTGCTATTTATCACCTGGTTGTAACTGGTCATTGCTTTGAGCCCATGAAAGAGTTCCTCACGGATATTGTTGGAGAAAGAGTACGTGAGCCTTGCCATTTGGGAGACGGTATGCTAATGAACGATATAGGGCCACAAGAGATGGGATAAGGCTGTCTCGGGCGGCTACGAGAATATCCGGCGACTGACACATGAGTGTCTCCTCCCGGCATTAGAACGCAGTCAGGTACTTCTCAGTCGATTGGTTGGATTGTCTAAATTTCACAAGCTAAGCGATGTCCTTGGGCTGGACACGACCAAGCTCAATGCTATCGTGGAGACACTTGATTGTCTCCATATTCTTGCGCACCGTGTTCTCACGCATGCCAACGAAGAGCTAGGCCAGTTTGCTGCTTTCTCTAGATGGCTTCGTCACGAAATCCACGTTCTTAACAGCGAGCCCTTGTCGCAGACACTCGAAGAGCTCCAGGAGAAGCGAGACTTATTCGATGTCCCTCCAACTGTGAAGTATATTAAAGGAGCATTGACCAAAAGTGCTCTACGGAACTTCATCCGCCAACTTCCTATGATCGGAGTTGTTCAACCTCCTCCCCCTCCCGCTGATAAGTGGCTTCCAGGTGACCATGACCGCTCGTTCTTCGATAGTTTCAAGTCGCTTCTTCAGCAGCAACGCGAGTCCCGGGACAAGGGCGGTGATGGTACATCTGTCGAGACGCCTAAGCTCAATGACTTGACAAAGCGTTTAGGCATCCAGTTTGAGAAGGTATTTGGGGATATTGCCTTGACTCAGCGCAGGGGAATTCTCCATCGCTCACCTTTAACACTTCACTCTGATTGCGATCAAGGGGTTATCGATCTAACCTTCTGCTACGAGGTGAGTTTGAGACTTTTGAATTTCGTCTTGTTCCAAATGCTAACTGGCACCACAGGATGCCATGGAAGGCCAGCCTTGCTCAGTATACGTCGCTACCCGATCCGTCACATCAAAACATCAAGGTCAGTCGTAGAATCGCTCTTCCGATTACAGCTGCTTATACCCTCGCAACTAGTCTATATCTACCGTGTCGCCCTCAACTCAGTTGGCGGCGTCAGCTCAACAAGTAGTACATCTCTCGCAATCCTCGACCTCCAAAACGGCGAAGTTCGCCAACTCCAATTCGTCAAAGACGACACACTCATGGTTCTCTGGCGTGACAGCAGTAAGTCACCCGCACATCTACTTATGATATTCCTATTCTAGGCTTTACATGCACAGTCTAACAATCTATTCGAACAGAAGGATCCTCCCATCTCCTCAACTTCCCCTTCCAGCCCGCCTCAACACAATCCCAACACGAGACAACCGACCCATTACCTCTAGTCCTGGACTATATTGAGTGTGACGGCACGCCATCCGCTCCCAAGCCTACTATCTCGGCCACGACCCTAGATCTCTCACCTGAATCCCCTCATGCGGGTGTCCTTATACATCTTTTTGCTCCGCATGGCCCTAAAGCGCGGCCTGTGCATGTCGATGTCAATGGAAAGAAGGGACGGCGTGCTATTTGTGTTTTATATGGGGATTATATGCGATACGAGGTTTTAGACCTGGATGCTGCCATGGGCGAAGATGAGGACGAGGAAGAAGATGAGGATTACCAAGAGGGGGATGAGGAGGACGAGGAGGAAGTTGATGATGAGGAAGTTTTCGACAGTGATGAAGAGAATAATGAGAACTAGGATCACATTATTATATGGGAGGCTGCATCTTTCACAGGATATGGTAGATCAACACTGCACCACTATTATGTTGATCTGATCTCTTGGCAGATCAACTGGCAGAAGGAGGCAAGATCCAAGATCGTAGCTCGCTCTTTTTGATAACTACTATTCCCCCTTTCCGCTGCTATTGGCCATCGGACTATCGGCTTTCTATAATGGCATCAAAATGGATTGATATATCCTGGCGGTAAGCTTTAGAGAGACATAAAATCCAGTGAGATATTCCGATGGGTATGGTTTTAGAGCGGACAAACCCAGGTTTGAGTGGGCAAGGCAACGGCTGTATAGTATACGGCAGGTTTTAGATGTCATCGCACCAATATAATTTGTTTACCATCTATTTACTGCCTTGTTCTTACCTATATACTCAACCCTAGATATGATTCCTCGGCTTCTCCATTGGATGCTCTTTTGGATGCTCTTTTTAGGTGTATAGGAAGGCATTAAAAAATGCATATTCTGTGCAAGAGACCTTTATATATGTAAACTTTCTAATTTTCTCCGCCCTACTAGTTCCCTTCGATTTCGTGCAGAAATTGATATTAGTGGAAAGTGCATCCTTTCCAAGTTGGAAGGTGTCCTAGCAGACGCGCGTAAACATCTACTAGAGAGCCACACTTTGACCCTTCAGCTAAATTACTTATTTTGTGTTTTAGTAGTTAGTTGTTTTCTTCCTGGTTTTTTTCTCATTGGTGGCCCTTAGGCTATTATCGTTTTCTAGGAATTCTTACATCAGTTCGGACCGATATCCAAAGCCCAAAATACCTGCTACCGCTACACCCGAAGCACAAATAGTTTGAATTTTATAGCCGAAAGAATTCCAATATCTCTGCAGAATTTGATATCCACTTCTCCCGGCAGTCATCGACTAAAGAAACCAGCTTTTCGTCCCTCCCAACAACCATCCATTCATCTGCGCTAACAGAATTCCACAAAGGAATATTGCTTGGCAGGGGGAACTGAAGTTCACCTGCGGTTAGCAAAGACCATACTGCATTATTATCCCTGTGAATTCCGTCTCTTATACTAGAGCTGCTTGCCCTCCCACAGACCTTGTACAAGGCTATATTAAATTGTTTGATTTCCTCAACGCAAACCCAGACGAACGAAGCTAAGTCAGCTTCTTCATACTTGGCAATGATGTTCGGATAATAGAACATGCCTAGGGTTCGACAACTTCGGACAAGATCTTCGAGTAATCCCAAATCAGCCGGGGGAAGAGAGACCTTTAAGTCGAGATCGACAGCAGTCTGGCTGTTGACAAGAAAAGAGAAGATGATATGTAATAGGATAGCCTGGTACATTGCTATTGGCCATGCACAGCTACCGGAAGCTCCAGGTGCTACTGAGGCATCCCATTTTTCCTATCAATCAAGTCTTAGTAAAGCCGGCACATGGTGTGGGGAATATTATTAGTGGCGCGAACCCTTTGATCTCGAAGAGCCAAGTCAAGTTTACCGTGGAGTTCCACTGCTGCTGACTGCGCAGACGGTTCCTTGGTAACCCACAGACCTATAACAATCATTGATTGAACCAGGAAGGGTGTTTCACGGCGTATGTCGAACGATCCTTTGTGGATGAATGGCCAGGAGGGGTGAAAAGT